AAAGCAACACAGAAAAATACAAGGAGTAAAAATCACTTGAAATCTCTAACTAGAGATAAGCATGCTGAGTATTCATCTTATTCGGCCTCAGTGAGAGGTACAACATAAGATTTAATCCTTTTGCAGGTCAGTTCCTCGCCCTTCAGCATGATCGCTAGTCTCATGTGCTCAAGCAACAGGGCAATATTTATATTTATCACACATAATTCTAAGTTTTAGAACAGTTATTTTGTGGTAAGTATAACTGTTCCCAAACTTAGAATTACGTGTGATAAATATAAAGTGTTCAGACTCAGAACTTATGAATTTCTAGATAAATAGCTTAGTATGCTATTAAATTTTCACCCTTGGTGGTTCTACAACTTGTACACAGAATAAATATAATTTAGGATACACAAAAAAAACACTGTTCACTCTTCAGCCGTCTGTAACCCTTCACTCTGTCAAAGCCACTCTCTCTGAGGTTACTAGTGACTCTTTAATTGCTAAACCCAAGTTATCCTACTCAACTTCTCAGTAGAATCTGACATTTTTTGGATCACTGCCTCCTTTATAAAAATTCCATCTTTTAATGGCCTCCTTGACACCACTCTCTCCCAGTTGTCTTGCTAGGCCAACCCTGGCCGTACGCAAGTCTCCTTCCTTGTCTCATCTTCATTATCAGGTTCACACCAGGATACTCCCTTGGGCCCTTTTCCATTTCTGGGAAGACTTACCAGTACTTAATTATCCCCTAAATGTGAATTGCTCCTCCTTCTTCAGCAATAACATCTCTTTCCCAAGCTCTAGTTCTGTATCTTTCACTGGAGTACTGTATGTCTCATAAATTGCCAGCCATTGAACACATGCAGTAATGCCCCAAACCTGCCCTCCACTTCCATTCCTTATCTCGGTTCATGGCAGCAGCATCTACCCAGTTACTAGAGTTAGAGTCCCATGTCAAACCTCCTTCTCTCCATCCTTATGACTGGTGTGGGTTGTATTAACAGCATAATGTAGTGGTCAAGAGCAAGGACTCTGGCCGAAACCGGTTTGGCTCAGTGGACTGAAAGGTCCCGGTTCGATTCCGGTCAAGGGCATGTACCTGGGTTGCGGGCACATCCCCAGTGGGGGGTGTGCAGGAGGCAGCTGATCGATGTTTCTCTCTCATCGATGTTTCTAACTATCTCTTTCCCTTCCTCTCTGTAAGAAAATCAATAAAATATATTTTTAAAAAAAAAGAAAAAAAAAGAGCAAGGACTCTGGAGCTGAATTGCCAGCATTCAAACCCAGCTTGACCACTTACTAGGTAAGTGACCTTGAGCAAGATTCTTCTTTTTTTTTTAATCCTCATCCGAGGATATTTTTTCCATTGATTTTTAGAGAGAGTGAAAAGGAGGGAGGGAGGAAGAGAAAGGGAGAGGAAGAGAGAAACATTGATGTGAGAGAGACACATCAACTAGTTGCCTCTTGCACATGTCCCGACTGGGGGCTGGGAGCGAACCCGCAACCGAGATACATGCCCTTGATTGGAATTTTACCCATGACCCTTTGGTCTGTGGGCCAATGCTCTAACCACTTAGCTGACCGGCCAGGCAAGATTCTTAACTGTTCTGTCTCAGTGACTCATCTCTAAAATGAGGATAATGATAGTAGCAATCTCCTAGAGTCCTTGTGAGGATTAAATAATTTTGTATTTGTAAAGCACTTAAAACAGCGTCTGGCAGAAAGTAAGTGCTACATAGGTTCGTGTTAATTAATTGGTCTCTGGTTCACACCCACTGTAGTCCATTTTTCACCCTGCTAAGAGAGGTATTTGAGGGGTTGCCAATTTTGAGTTGTCAAGGAAAGGCCAGTCCTTTAAAGCACTAAGTGCTTTAAAGTATATAGAATCTCATTTAATCCTCATAACAACCTGTTTGCAGAGGTGGGGGGGGGTGTTACTATCCTCATTTGAGAGATAAAGAAACTGAGGTCTTAAGTCACTAATCATCCGAGAGATGCAAATCAAAACAACAATGAGGTACCATCTCACACCTGTCAGACTGGCTATCATCAACAAATCAACAAACGACAAGTGCTGGAGAGGATGTGGAGAAAAAGGAACACTTGTGCACTGCTGGTGGGAATGCAGACTGGTGCAGCCACTATGGAAGACAGTATGGAGTTTCCTTAAAAAACTGAAAATGGAACTCCCATTTGACCCTGTGATCCCACTTCTAGGAATATATCCCAAGAAACCAGAAACACCAATCAGAAAGGATATATGCACCCCTATGTTCATAGCAGCACAATTCACCATAGCTAAGATCTGGAAACAGCCTAAGTGCCCATCAGTAGATGAATGGATCAGAAAACTGTGGTACATCTACACGATGGAATACTATGCTGCTCTAAAAAGGAAGGAACTCTTACCATTTGCAACGTCATGGATGGAACTGGAGAGCATTATGCTAAGTGAAATAAGCCAGTCAATGAAGGAAAAATACCACATGATCTCACTCATTCATGGATAATAGAGACCATTATAAACTTTTGAACAATAATAGATACAGAGGCAGAGCTGCCTCAAACAGATTGTCAAACTGCAGCAGGAAGGCCAGGGAGGGTTGCGGGGCAGGAGGTAGGGGGGTAAGAGATCAACTAAAGGACTTGTATGCATGCATAGAAGCATAACCAGTGGACATAAGACATTGGGGGATAGGGGAGGCTAGGGGACTGTCTAGGGCGGGGGGATAAAATGGACACATATGTAATACCCTTTGTAATACTTTAAGCAATAAAAAAATTAAAAAAAAAAAAAAAAAAAAAAAAAAAAGAAACTGAGGTCTTAAGAGCTAATGTACTTTGTTCAAGATTATAAATGCCTGAGTTTGAGTTTTAAGTCAGGCCTGTGTATTCCCTGAGCCTAGTGTTCAAAACCAGGAAGCTACTCTATACCACTTTCCCAAGGCTGAGTAAGTCACTTACTGCTTAAACCTTTTTAAAGACGCCACACTGCCAGTGCTGACATGATCTATTCCTTCACAATCTCGTTCCAATTTATGTTTTTTTCCTGCCACTTTCCTCCATGTGGACTGTCTTTCTCTTTTCCCTTCTTCTCTTTCCTTTCCTTTCCTTCTCTTTCCTTTCCTTCATCCTCCTTCTCTTTTCCCTTCTTTCTTTCCTTTGTTCCTTCAACATTTATTGAATTCTTGAGTGCCAGCCAGGCACCATGCGAAATTGGAGAAAACAAGAGAAATGAGCAATTTGTCTTCAAGGAGCTCACAATTTGACACAAATTATTGTTGGCAGTGCAATGAAGGGTGTGCACCAGGTGGCTGAGGGGCCAGACTGAAGAAGGGAGAGGAGGGGATAGAGAGAGTTTCTTTGAGGAGGGAACATTTAATTGCCTTAAAGGATATTCTGGTCAGACAATTTCTTGCCATTCTTTAACAACCCTGATTTCTTGCTTTTTACCTTTGAGATTGTTGGGTGTCTTTCTCCAGGTTAGATTGTTGTTTAATACTGTGTTTCAAAGTCACCTTCTCTGGGTCACCATCCATTTGGATGTGTGTTTCCTTGTACAGACCTCAGTTACAGCACATATATCACATTGTGGTCTAGATATTGGTCTATCTGCCTGTCTTTCTGACTGAATTGTGATGTCCTCCAAGGAAAAATAGTCATTTTATTTTTGAACTATCTTTCATTGTCAAAGTGGTGTGACTGGCCTATCATAGTGCTTAATAAAGTTTTGTTAAGTGAAGAGTTATTTGCATATTTACAAAAGAAAGTGTAAGGCCTGGGACCCTTCTGATTCAGAGTAAAACTATTCAGAATATCATTCATAGTACCTAGCCCAGTGCTCTACAGAAAGTACCTATTTTCAATAAATGCTAAGTATTTGATGGTTCTGTCAGTGAAATATCTGAAGTGATGCTAGGAATAAGGAAACTTATTATTAAATCTACTTCTTTAGATAAATTAGGCTTTTTATGTCCAACTGAGTATCAGGACTCCGGATCAGGCATGAGAAAAATTAAGAATTGTTGGTTATAGAGCTAATATTGAGGATTTCTTTTCTTCTTTGGTGTGGGGCCATGGTTCCAGAATCTTGTGCACAGTTGAGGCACCAAGATATGTTGCTGTTGGGAGCAGGATACCATAGTCTACAGGAGTTGCTGCCAAGAATCTACCATTCTAGTCCATTCTGGCTAAAGGCCTAGCAATCTTGTTCGCAGCTGCTCCTGGTTCTGTCTTCTTAGACACACGGAGCAGTTATTTTCTCTCTGTGGTTGTGCCTTCTTCCTGGGAGCATAGCTCTCTTTTTTGCCTATCTCTTTCTCCCGTAGAGGCATTGTTATGGTGAGCAGAAGGTACTTACGGTGCTGAGGTGAGAGGAGTCCTCGCTGCTCCTCCTCTTCTTCTTTTTTGACCTTGATTAGCCTTCCACCAGGGGTTGAGGCTTTTGTGTCACAAAAGTCAGAAAGACTCATAGCCTATGCCTATTTTCCATTTGCCTCATCCCTCTCTTGAGAAAACGATTGCAGAACCCCTACTGGCATGAATTAAGAGGAAGGGAAAGGGGAAAAATACATGGAGGGGGAAAAAAAAGAAGCCCAAAGTAGAGACTGGTATCTCAGAATACTGTCCTGGTCCCAGTAGTCCTCTAGTCTCTGGATCTCATCAAAATTGTGAGAATTAAAAATTAAAGTACATGTAAGGAATTTGGAATTGTGTTTGGTACATGGACAGTGAGTGCTTAATAGATGTTAGCTATGATTATCTAGGACTTCTCCACCCAGGGAAGGACCTGGGTCTCTGTCCCAAGTCAGGTCTTCCAGGACAATTACTCTTACCCTCATAGTAGTGCCACGCTGTGTGCATGATCTATATACCCCATGCTCCTGGAGGACAGTTCAGCTGCATGCTGGACCCACTTCTGGTCTCCCCTGGGGGTGAGCTTGCTACTACCCCTAGGGGATTCTCTTTCCTCCCAACATTGGTTTCCCTCTCCCTACCCCAGAAAGCTTACTCACAAGTCCAGTTGGTACTGCACCAGTCCTGGTTGGAGTCCAGGTGTTGTTACTGGCCTTTCTGGTAGACCTGGGACTGGATAATTACATTGAAATTCAGAAGCAGCATGCAATTTTTGGCACTGATGTCTTTCACTAAATTCAACAAGCATTTACTGAGCACCTAGAGCGTGTAAAATCTGGCTCCTTTAAATACATTTGGCTCTTAACTCCATTCGGATTAATTCTGATCCATCCTTAAGGGTTTTATGAAGAATAAGTATTAAAGTGGAAAATATTTGCACAATTCTTTGCAAATATAAACGTCTCTTATGAATGATTATCGCTACAGTATTAATATTAATTGTAATAACAACACTGCAGCTTCCCAGGGAGGCGGTAGGGAGCAGCTGTAAGACCCAAAGGAGCCAGAAGGAAGAGGTCAGGGGCGGTGCCTCCAGCACGTCCGGCCCCGAAGAGGCGGGGCCTTGAGGAATGTACCCAAATCCCGCCCCTTACTCAGCCCCTTCCGTCGGGGCGGCGTAGGCGGTTACCATGGCGATGACGTAGAGTGGGCGGAGCGGGGCGGGGCTATGGAGAGGAGGAGGAAGATGGCGGGAGGGCGGCTCTGAGGAGACCTCGGCGGCGGCGGAGGAGGAGAGAAGCTCAGCGCCGCGCCGCGCCGGGGCCCATGTGGGGAGGAGTCGGAATCGCTGTTGCCGCCGCCGCCGTCGTTGCCGCCGCCTGGAACTGCGGGACCCGAGTTGGGGGTGAGGGGGGAACGCCAAGATGAAGTTCGCTGAGCACCTCTCCGCGCACATCACCCCGGAGTGGAGGAAGCAATACATCCAGTATGAGGTACCGGCGGCGGCCGGGGTGTGCGGGGACTCGGAGGGGCCGCCGTCTCGCCAGCCCGACCTCCGCGGCCGCCTTCCGCTCTTGCTGCCTCCCCGCGCCGGGGCAGACTTTGACCCGGTGCCGCGGGGAGCCACTGCGGCATCCCCGCCGCGCCGGCCCCTCCGGGCCCGCTGACCTTCCCCTCCCCCGCAGCCCCGCTGCCGCTGGGGTAACGGATATGCAGGCGGCGGGCCGGGAGGGAGGGCACTGCCCCGCCGGAGCGGGGGCGCGGGGGTGGAGGGCCAGCCGCAGGTGGGGGGCTCGGGGCGCGAAGGCAGCCGGGTCGCGGCCGCTCCGCGCTCCTTTCCTCCTCCCCTCCCCTCTCCCCTGACCTCTCGTCCCCACCCCGGGCGAGCGCCCCCGTGGCCAGGTTTGCTCGCGTTTCTGTCCCCGAGGAACCCTCCTCTCCGACCAGCCCCTCTGGCGGTTTCCCTCGCCCCGTAGAGCCCTTCTGCCTTTGCCCACTTGCCACTGTTGACAAAGGCTTCGTAACTGCGCTGAAACTTGATTGAAATGTGTATCACACATGCAGTGTGAAACCGACTGTATTGTCATCAACTACTCCGTTTGCATGGGAAGACTCGTTTGGCTGATTGCATGGAGTATGCAAAGTAATCACGTCTTAGGTTTTGACTCTTCTGTTGTTTTGGAAAGGAGTGAAGGGGCAAGAGGAAGGAGGAAAGAAGAGAATTATTAAAATTTTCAGGGTTTTTTTTTTTTTTTGCCCCTAAAATTTTAACTATGGAGAAAAGTACTGTATTGTAAACAATGTACTTTTTTTTTTTTTTGTTAAGCCATACCTGCCTATTACAGAAATCATGGCCCCCCCCCCCCCCCTTCCCTCCTAATTTCTGTGATAACCTGTAGGGTACTTAATCGATAGTGGTAAGGAACCTTACATTAATACAGGGGGAAAGTGAAGATAATGAGCCCATGTATATATTCAGAAGGTGAGATAACCTGAAGGGCTTTAAGCATTGCAATAGGTTATTCTCAGTTCAGCTCCTGGATAGAGAAAGACTCCAGGAATTCACATCTATGTTATGTGCAAGAACAAAGAGTATAAAATCAATAGGAACACAAATACGCCAGCTAGATTTTGTGAAATAAAATATGTTGGTACTGTGTTTCATTTCTATTTAAGTTCAGTGATAGGGTGTTTCAGCAATAGTGTGAGTTTAATCATATAGCAGTTGTAATAATTGAAGAAGACGGGGAAAGGGCTGTAGGTCGGTTAAACAGAACCTTGAAAGACTGTAAAATAAATCCACCTTGTAACATACAGCATTTTATTATTGCCAGAAACGAGAGGCCTAAAATTAGTAATGCTTTTCTTGTCACTTAATTTTCTTATAGTGTTTTGTGGCTGCATTTGTGAGAATGAAATAAGGGGATAGCTTTTCTGCCTGGAGAGTTTTTGATTTATTGTTCCTAATAACGTTCAGGCAGTTTTAAACCTTGGCTAGAGTCCAGACGATGGTTTTTATTGAAAGGAGGGTATTGGTCTTTCGTCTTTCCAGTAGTAGTAATTTTCAGCACCACTGCCAGTTCTTCATAGAGGCATAGGACATAGCATGCTGAGGCAACCTCTTGCACTTGCTGTATAGTATGGCATGCTTGATTTGGGCAGAAGTAATAGTGGCTGTTTGCTATGATTCATTTTAAGCATTACAACACTTAACTGTTTCATAGAACTGTATTAATTTGGAATATCTGGGGATGGAAGTGGAAGCGTACGATTTAGTTTGAAAATGCAATTACCTCCTGATTTGTAATGTCAGCTTTGTGGCTGGAGTAACCACAGTAATTCTGGGACTCTTCATTCACTTACTCCACTCGGGTACTAGTCTTAAATGGTTACTCAAGGTTGGTTACAAGAGGGACAAAATTCCTGAGCACATTTGTGATTGTATTATCTTTCCCAGGTCAATTATAAATCATTTTGGGAAAAATTCATTTACTGTGGATAATGGAAATTTTATTTTGCAGAGAGTCCCTACTATGTGACTCCTGCCCTGCATAAGCTCATTGTTTGGTAGGCAAAATTAAATAAGGGACACTTTTCTTTGTGCATTGGAGCAATTAAAGGCATTTAAAAAAATAGGGCTAGGATTTATGTGTGGTATATTGTTTCTCAAGAGCTGGTGCTGGTCCTTTAAAAATAAAGAGAAATACATAAGAGTGTTTTGCATTCAGAAATTTTGGCAGCTTTAAAACTTAGGAGGGTAGGGGGAAGAACATCATAAAAGATGTTAGTTTTTGCTAGAGAAAAGAACCTTCTTGTAATGCAATAAAATGTAGTTTCTCATGTATGAAGGTGATGCTCTTGGAACACTCTTAGCAGAACAGACACTTGCATTTGTTATTCAAGCACTGGTAGTGAAATTTTGGTATATTACCCCTAATTTCTAGCCTAGGGTGGTTTCTAGTGCTGTGAACCACTATGCTTTATCTTTGGTTTTTATGTCATTTTGCTATATTAAATTTTATTTTAAGCAGAGCATTACATAGAAGCTGACAATTTTGTTTTATATCTGTAATTATGTGTATTATTGGATATACTTGGTCACACAATAGTGCTAGTTCTTGTATATGTTAGCCATAAGACCTTGGGGACAGTCTTTTTGCCTTTCCAGGACTCCTTCCTCCTCCATAAAGTAAGACTATAGGCCCAGTGCTTTTTAAGGTTCGTTGTGGTTATAGGTTTTTGATTTAACTTTTGTTTTTCTTCCTTGGATTGTTAAAATTATTTGATAGTGACCCATCAATATCCTGAAAATTATTGGAGTTTCTAATTTAAAAGTAAATTGTAGAGTTCCTAGATTAGGTCTTCATAGAGAGAATACTAAAGCACAAAAGAATAGAGCAATATGGAGAACCGTATGAAGAACATCTATTCTACCCACTTCTGAATAGTTTTTACAAGGAATAAAAAAAAAAAAAAGAGCATAGACTATTCCTGTTTCCAGTAATCTATTTGAATGTACATCTTGGCATGTATAATAGAACATTAATAAATTTTTGTAAGAAATTTTTTTAAAAATTTAGGATCAGTGATTGTATAGAGTTCTGTAATAGATTAATCAAAATTAACTTAGACCACTTTCAACCAAATAGACTAGTCTGACTATGTTAATATTTTACAGAATATTAACAAAAGAAGCAAATATATTTGGTGCCTTAGGCTGCTGACTTGAATTTTCTTCCTTAGGCTCCTGTGGTTTGGTTTCTCAGGAACCAGAAAGGGTTTTTGTCAGTGTATACTTTAGTTTTGTAAGATACTAAAATAATGAGGCTCCTAAATTTTATGATTTTAGACTTTAAAGGAAATTTAGAGATTATCTATCTCCTTGTTTTTTCAGGCAAGGAAACTAAGGTCTAGAGACGTTAAGTCACTTGTCCAGGATCAGATATAGATAGCTAGTCTCTTGAGCACAGATGTTTAAGCATTAGGAGTCAGTTCACCCTAGCCTAGCTCTGTGACCCTGATTAATTCACTTTCTCTTTCTGGGCTTTAGGTTCTTCATTTGTAACTAGAGCCAACTAGATTTGATGGTTTCTAAGTCACAGCCCTGTATTTTCTAAGGACCCATCTGGCTCTAAATTTCTGTATGTTTTTATGGTTTAATTGTTTGATATATGAAGAGGAAATAATTTAAAGGAATATTATTAATAACATCCTTTTAAATTAATAGTGTTCTTTCAAAAATTTTTATATTTTAATCTGTGAATGGAAAGCTGACTCAAAGAAACTCTTTTGTTTAATTAAATAAGCAGTGATAGTCATGGATTAATATTTTATTGCAGGATTTGGGAAAGGAGAGATTCTGCATAACTGCACATCCCTTATTTTCAAATGTAAGGAAACATTGCCATAACACAATTGTGCTTTTCATTTATAGAACTCTCCCATGAGAACACTTGTGTTGTAGGCTTCAATTTCCCAAAGGTATTGTGTTCATTAGTTAGGGTTAACTTGCCTTGTGTTTGAAATTTCCAATTTGGCCACCCGATGGGGCACAAATCACACTTTTTCTTTCAGTGCTTCTGTAAATGAAAGTACACTATAGCATATTTAAGATAACACTTGTACATGATTGTGTCAGTAAGATGCCTAGCATTTACAAATGTTTCTTAAATGAGTGAATGAATGTTGTATAAGACAGGAAGGTATTACTGTTCATTATTATCTTCCTATAATGAAATGTGTTAGGGTAAGTATCCTGGGAAGATTATACTTGTCCATCCAACCCTGCAGTTTGGTTTTGGAACAGCTTTTGGGTGAAGGCCCAGATCATAAGAACCTAAAATCTGCGGTGACCTGCGGTGACCATGGAAAATTAGTTCTAGCTTCAAATCTAGCCCTAATCCGGAAAGCATTTGAGAGACTGATTAAGTTGTGCTGGTTAGGGGTTTCAAGTATATTTGCATCATAGACCCCAAAGGAGAGTACTCCTAATTTCCATGGAGTAAGAGAAGGTAGTATTAGATAGTAGTAGCTATATTTATTTTTATGCATAAGAGAAGGAAGAAATAACATTTTACTAAAAATGGATTGATGTGACCTTGTTTAGTAGGTATTCTTAGGGAATTTTCAGTGGATAGTCATAATCAAGTTTCACAATCAACTGAATCCTGAAGTTTGAACTAGAATGCTATATTACAAAATTATTAAATTAAGATGTTAATAAATAATGAAGGTTTTCAGTTATGTTCTCTAAAAGTGTTATTATTGATACTTACTTAGATTAAAAATATTTT